ATGGTCTCGATCTCTTGACCTCGTGATCCACCCGCCTCGGCCTCCCACAGTGCTGGGATTACAGGCTTGAGCCACCGCGCCCGGCTTCATTCTGCTTAGTTTTAATTCTAGATGGGATCTGGGAGTAAAATGATACCTGTGAATATATGGAAGATTAGGAAGCAGTAAAGAGAAAATAAAATCTTTCTGACTAGATGCCAGAATAGGGGAAAGTAGACAGAACTGCATCATGCCTAAAGGAAGAGGAAACCCCATTTCCTCAGATAAATGAACGTAAGCATCCTTTTCTTCAAGGTTGATGGTAAGGGAGACCCTCTCAGCTTCACCCTGTCCTGTTTCAAGGACTCCCTTTGTAGGTACCCACCACCTGGGTCTCCTTCTCTGTGATGACCCCCAGAGCTTGGCAGCGAGTGGTATGCACCTTCTTGGAAACAGGGAACACCTGCCAGGGCAAAGGAATCCCAATGAGGTCCCAGATCCCTCCAAGACCATCCTTGAAGACATGGCAAGAAGTAAAAGATAAAAAGGGTAAGAGAGTCAAGGGTGTAGCATACCTTTCGGCCCAGTAGCTGGTTGGAGAGTGTTGACTTCCCTGCATTTGGGGCTCCCAGGAGGACCACTCGTAGGACCCGGGGATTCTCAGGCATATCAGGGTGATGAACCAAGAGGAGATCCTGCTCATCTATATGCAAGTGGGAAGAGGTGTGAGACATAGTGGAATCTGGATTTCCCATCAAGTGCTTGTTCCTGCCCACCCACAAAGGGTGACACTTTCTTTGGCCCTGCCCTTAATTTACATTAATTTATAAAGTAACTCTCTTTAAAAATATATATATATTTTTTTTCTTTTTTTCTTTCCTCCCTCCCTCCCTCCCTCTAAAGTAACTCTCTGAGCCCTTTAGTTTTCTTATATGTAAAATCAAGTTGATATTGATGGTACCTATTTACCAGCTTTTTAAAAATTTTTAAATGTTTTTGGAGATGGAGTCTCACACTGTCACCCAGGCTGGAGTGCAGTGGCACAATCTCTGCTCACTGCAATCTCTGCCTCCTGGGTTCAGGCAATTCTCCTGCCTCAGCCTCCCGAGTAGCTGGCATTGCAGGTGCCCACCACCATGCCTGGCTAATTTTTTGTATTTTTTTTTAAGACAAGTTTTCACCATGTTGGCCAGGATGGTCTTGAACCCCTGACCTCAGGTGATCCACCCGCCTCAATCTTCCAAAGTGCCGGGATTACAGGCATGAGCCACCACGCCTAGCCATTTTTTGTATTTTTAGTAGAGATGGGGTTTCACTATGTTGGCCAGGTTGGTCTTGAGCTCCTGACCTCATGATCTGCCCACCTCGGCCTCCCAAAGTGCTGGGATTACAGGCATGAGCCATCTCACCCAGCCCACCAGCTTATAATTTTTTTTGATGACTATCAATTGTGTAAAACAACTCAGCACAATGCCTGGCACTTAATACTCAAGTACTGTACGTAATTACAATGTGTAGCTGTGCCTGAGAAGTGTATGTGCATGAAAGTAAGCTGGATTACACAAAGCCAGATATTTCCTCAGCTCTCATTCTCTCACCCTACTAAGGGTGCTATGAAGGCTCTGCAAGCTTTCCCAGTCTTTTGTTTTTCTGCAAGAGGGACAGGAGGAAGGGCTAGGGGTCAAAAAGGGCGAGGGCTCAGTCTTTTTTTTTTTTTTTTTGTGACAGAGTTGCGCTCTTGTTGCCCAGGCTGGAGTGCAATGGCGCGATCTCCCAAAGTGCTGGGATTACAGGCGTGAGCCACCTCGCACGGCCAGGGCCCAGTCTCTTTATATTATCTCCTTCATGACAAGTAGATGAGGCCCAACATGCATTATTGGATCAAATTTGCTTCCCATGTCAGGGTGCAGGGCCATAGTTCTGCTTTGTCTGTGGCCCTTCAATCTTATGCTCTTTAGTGGGCGTCTCTGGTTGTGACCAGATCGGTTCCTTCTTCCACTCAAACTGTTATTTCTCTCTTGTGAGATTCTTCACTGCTCATCCCTGTCAGGGCCTCAAAATCATTTTCTATAAAATAGGATCAAATGCGATATCCCCAGAAACCTTTCAGTGCTAAAAACGTGACAGTTCCGCGGAAACCTATCAGGGCTCTTTACCTCTGTGCATGGACACCGCGGGGGCGCAAGGAGTCACCGAGCTGTCAGGCTGAGGGAATCCAAGGAAGTGGGCCAGGGCAGAGTCCTGGCCATGACTGCGAGAAGCCGAGGCCAGGCGGGGACCACAGAAAGCGGAGCCCACGACGCAGGACACGCACCTCCGTTGACAGCCTAAGAGTGAGGGGAAAGAGATCACCCGCTCCCTCGCGACATGAGAGCCCACCTGCCAGACCCTGAACACCGCTTGAACAAGCCCAGCCCCGCGCCAGCTGGGGGCAGCCATTACAGCCGCAAGGCACTCCGGGAAGCGACCAGGAGCGCTCTCACGATTGAACAGAGTGGCTGACGAACCAGGGAGTAGGACAGAGGTAGGTCGGCCCAAACGGAGAGCAGAGACGCATGGGATATGGGGGGCGGGAAGCACCGCTCGGGAGACTGCCCGAGAACAAGGAAGGGGGAAAATGTGTATTTAGAGGCTGTCCAAGCTTGACGGTTGTTTTGGACTGCTATACACAACGTATTTTTTTCTTCTGTCAAAGTTTTGTAAAAGGTCTTTCAGGGGGCCGGGCGCGGTGTCTCATGCTTGTAATCCCAACACTTTGGGAGGCCGAGGCGGGCAGATCACGAGGTGAGGAGTTCGAGACCAGCCTGGGCAACATGGTGAAACCCCGTCTCTACTAAAAATACAAAAATTAGCCGAGAGTGGTGGCGGGCTCCTGTAGTCCTAACTATTCAGGAGGCTGAGACAGGAGAATCGCTTGAACCCGGGAGGCCGAGGTTGCAGTGAGCTGAGATCACCCATTGCACTCCAGCCTGGGTGATAGAGCAAGAGACAAAGTCTCAAAAAAAAAAAAAAAAAAAAAAAAAAAAAAAAAGCCTTTCTGTCCATGTCTCCTAAAAGACTACATTTCCCGTGAGACCAAAAAGCAGAAATCGTCCTCCTATAATGGTTGTGGGCGTGGGAGCCAAGCACTGTTCCGCCTGTCCCATAAATGTTTGTTGTGGTGGTTTGTACCTTGTCCTTTCCATCCTTAGGCCTGAAGGATCCTCTTCCAGCCTTTGGCTTGCCCTAGCAGTCAGTGGTGGCCACGGATCATCTGCACCTTTGCTTTATGCTAGGCTCCTGGAAGGAGTGATACCTGGGTTCGTGTTTGGGATGAAGAGCAGGTCTGGATTTCCTTCCTGTAAAGCTTGGCTACTGTCTTCTATCTGAGGTCATTCCTTCCTGAAGAAAAATCGGAGGGTTTGCAAAGGAGGAAGAAGCAGCTTAGCCACCTAGGATCTCCTAGACTATTCCTAGACCACTTTAGCAGCTGGAGGAACTAGATTTACTTTGGTCTGTTTGAGGACTTGAGCCCTCTTCATCCTTTGTAGCCTCTAAATCAAACACTTGAAACAGATAAACCTTGGTAGAGGGGAATTGAGGGAAGAAGGTTCTTAGAGTCAGTGCTCATTCTGTTGCTCAGGCTGGAGTTCAGTGGCATGTTCATAGCTCACTGCAGCCTGAAACTCTTGGGTTCCAGCGATCCTCCAGTTTCAGCCCTCTTGGGTGGCTAGGACTACAGGCACTTGCCAACATGCCTGACTATGGGAGGAAGACATATAAAGCATCTACTGGCAAGCTCTGTCTCATGCTGGGGATACATCAGTGAACAAAAAGAAATCTCTATCATGGGACTTTAGGGACCCCATCTCTAAAATAACACCAATAAAAATATGACACAATACAGTATAATAACTATTTATATAGCACTTACATTGTATTAGATATTGTAAGTAATCCAGAGATGACTTAAAGTCATCTCTTATTCACTGCAAGAGAATCAGCATATTTTGGTATCCATGGGATGGGAGGGTGGAAATTATAGTATCTCAATTCCCTGGGAAGACATGACTGTATATTCTGGCTATTCTCAATTCCTCGCCTCCTAATCTCTCTTTTTATTATTTATTTATTTATTTGTTTTGAGACAGAGTCTTGCTGTGTTGCCCAGGCTGGAGTGCAATGGCACGGTCTCGGCTCACTGCAACCTCTGCCTCCGGGTTCAAAGGATTCTCCTGTCTCAGCCTCCTGAGTAGCTGGGATTACAGGTGCCTACCACCACGCCCAGCTAATACTTGTATTTTTAGCAGAGACAGGGTTTCACCATGTTGCCCAGGCTGAATTCCTGACCTCGTGATGCACCTGCCTCAGCCTCCCAAAATGTTGGGATTATAGGCGTGAGCCACTGTGCCCGGCCTACTTTTATTTTATTTATTTATTTATTTATTTTTTGAGACGGAATTTCACTCTTGTTACTCAGGCTGGAGTGCAATGGCGCGATCTCGGCTCACCACA